CCTAGTTCATTCCTCTCTTTGAAAATTAAAAGAAAAACTCCTTCATTGGTATACAATCCCCCCACCCCGAGTACACTCCACTATGCAACCTTAATTCTGAACTCTTTTTTTTCTTTTTTTTTAAATTCTGAACTCTTGTGATAACCATAATACCCTATCATTTATTGCTTTTAAACTGTTCTCTCCCTCATCTGCTTCAACACAGTATATATAATTTATCCAGTTTTTCTCAGCTTTTTATCACTAGGCCAACAGAACTCCAATTTCAAGTTGGATTTTAAAGGAGAAAAATGGTTTAGATATAATAGCCTGAAACAAATCAGAATCCTAAGGTAATGGTCCTGGTCAGTATTTATGAGGACTTTAACAAGAGCAGGAACAAGAAGAAAGAAGGAAAAGCACCCAAAATAATTTTAATAATCTAAGGTTTTCAACACTGGGTCAAATTGGCAGCACTATGATGGATGGAGAAGAGATTGAGGTTGTTAACAATTACAGCTTGCTCAGCTTCTCAATTAACACTTTTGGTACCAGCAGTCTGGAATCAAAAGATGAACTGCATTAGGTAAATCTGCTGTCAGGGACCTCCTCCAGAGTACTGAGAAGCATCGAAGTCAGTCTAGAGATTAAGGTACACCTGATCCAGTCCATGGTCTTCACAATTACTTGCCATGCATCAGATAGCTAGATAATGACTAAGGAGGACAGAAGAAGAATTGATGCCTCTGCACTGGAGAAGAGTTTTGAACATACCATGGACCACCAAGAAAACAGTCGGTCTGTCTTGGAGAGGGTAAAATCAAGTTTGTCCTTAAAGGCTAGGACTTTGAAGATCTATCTCACATACTTTGGGTATATGGCCAGGAGGGACCGCTCCTTGGAGAAGGACATCATGCTCGGAAGGGTGTAGGGACAGTGCAGGAGAAGAAGACCCCAGATGAGATGGATTGACACAGTAACTAGGTCAATGGGAGGTGGGTTTGTCGGAGTCAGTGAGACTGGCTCGGGACAGGGCAGGCTTCAGAGCTTCTGTACATGGATCACTAAGAATCAAGGACTTGATGGCACATAACACCAACAACAAAGCTTTGATGATAGAAATATGAAAGTGGAAAAACAAGTGAAAAAAATTATGATCTTTTGACTAAGAATTTTCAGGAGGCTTATATAGTTACCAGTGAAAGTGAAGAAAGAAGCAAGTAACATAAATACGAAAGATGGAAGTTTGAAAGGTATTGTGTTTGAAATGCCCATAGTATATACATGGGTAGCTACTATGCCCAATGTAACACATTCCTGGTGTGTGAGAGGTGTTAGGGAAGAGGCTTCCTTTCCACCTATCTATTTCCTTCTGTGGAAAGGGACTCTCACAGCCTCCATCTCCCCTGTCTTTCACTCTTCTCCAAAAGAGAGAGAAAGAAGAAGGAGGAGGAAGAAGAAGCAGCAGAAGCAGCAGCAGCAGCTGAACTTACTTCTTTCTTACCACCCTAGGAAGTACACATTATTCTGCTCTGGTCCTCAAGGCCACTATTTTTTCAGTAGCTGGTCTAATCTGGTGCCATCTATAACTATACTTGCTGTGACTTACATACTTGCATGCTAAACCTCATCCTTTATTTAAAAAACAAATTCATAAAATATTATACAAAATGGGTGACCCTGGAGGACATTATGCCAAGCGAAATATCTCAGTCACAAAAAAACAAATATTGCATAGTGCCACTGTTATAAAAGAGGACTGTCAGGGATTGGGGGAGTCTGAGAAAAAGGGGATAAATAATGTATACTGCATTGAAACAGATGAGGGAGAGAACTGTTTAAAAGGGATATGTGATTAGGTATGATTGTCATGACAGGAGTCCAGAACGAAGGCTGCATAGTGGAGTGGACTTGGGGGAGAGGGATTGTATAACAATGAAAGGATTTTTCTTTTACTTTTCAAAGAGAAGAGAGAATTGGGGGGTGGGGGGAGAGGTGGACAGGGAGAAAAGTGCAACAATGAATGAATGGAAATCCAAAGTCTCTGTAAACTTTCATTAAAATTAGTTTAAAAATTTCCCATTGGGGAAAAAAAATCTATTTTTAAAGGAAATATACTGGTCTTCCTCTTGCTTTACTTTTGTCTTATTCTTTAGTTGATTCAGAACTCAGCTAAGGAAGAGGGGAATTACTGGCTTTCTGTGAATCTCATCAGTGGGTACTAAATTTACTAAATAATTATGTCTTTAAATGAGACACTCAGTAGTAACTGGAAATTCAGATGTGGAACTCAGTATAGAGTTCAACATAAACAAGCTGATTTGGAAATTATCAGGATGGAAGTAATGCTAGAGTATGATTACAGTAGCTTTTATAGCTAATACTTACTGAGTACAAAGCACTATTTTTAGTACTTTATATGCATTAAAGTATTACTCTTCCTGAAAGTCCTATTAATTAAGTTATTAATATTAATGTTATATACATAGATTTATTTCTTCACAGAATAATAAAGTGAAGCCACTATACATTGAGTAAACGTAACCTAAAGTTAGAATTTAAAAGCTGAAATAAATGATACTTTTCTAAGAAGAAAATAGAGCAAATAAAATAAATTTCATTTCTTGCCTTCTACCTCTCTCTACAAATGAGAACAATACTTTCTTATCACTTTGTAGTGATGTAATAAAAATTAATGACAGAAGCTGTGAAGTTCAATGCCTAGAGGGAAAATGTGTCCAAATGCAAAGACTAGCCACGGTTGTTTAACTTATTCTTTATATGAGAATGAATAACAATCACTTTATTGGTATAATTTTTCTTTGGGTTGAAATGGAACACAGAATGGAACTGCCTTTAAAAGAAAAGGAAGTCTCTGCTTTTAAGCCAGTTACAGGAAGATGAATCAAGTACAAAATCACACATGTTAGAAACAGTTCTATTTTTCAGGTAGTTTTTTCTTTGCAAACAAGCCATGTGAAGAAGATACTCAGTTTCCCCTCTATGACCCTGAACCTTTTCTTTTTCCTTTCCTTTTGCAGACTCTGAGATCAAAAGACGGAGTCACTTACAGCTGTTGAACTCAAAGGCAACCATATGGGTCTCCTCTCTTTCTGCCATCAGCTGGGTACTCCTTCCTCTCACCCCTTACCTGATGCTGAAATAACGTGTCCTGGCTACATAGAAACATGCAAAGTCATTGGTACAATAGGTGAGATAAATCACAAATCACGTGAGAGACAGGTTCTGTGTGTTCTTCTGTTTCTAACAAGAGTCAAGTAACATCAGAGAAAAGCATTTCATAACTCCAGGTTATTGGGCACTATTTCCACTACTATTATAAAGGATAACAATTTGTTAGCTTAACAAAGAGCACAGGCTTCATTGACAGACTTACAGGAAAACTACTCCAAGTAATTCAAATACTTGCATAAAGTCAAATACCTTCTGGTTTACTGAGTTATTAATGAAGGCAAAAATATCTTAAAGATAAAAGAGATAAGTAGCCCTGACTGGTCACTCTAGATTTCACTGTTAATTTAGGAAGCATTGTGGCTTATACATAATCACTCACATAAGTGACCCACCCTAACAAGGCCTCTGTTGATGGGAAATTTTGGCAAATGATACACTCTAGACCACCTGCTGAGGTTTCTCATTTTCACTTTGGTCCTCTGGCTCCAATTATTGGTGAGACATTTCCTCCTGTGCAAAACTGAGCTCATAAAGTTCTAGTCACACCACCCACAATAACTCAGACACACCACCACCATGCCCCCAGGATCACAATCTCACAGCTATTTTTATCTCCCCTCATCTCACACTCAGACCTTGTGCTTGGGCTTATTCCTGTCTTTATTTGAGTCAATAGGAAATAAGATGCAAAGAGAAAATTAGTCAAACACTCTGTGTTGTTATCAGGTGCTGTCAAGTTGATTACAACTATTAGCAACCCTATGAATTCACTTCAAAAACTTGCTCTATTCAGCACCATCTTAATTTCTCCACCATGATCAAGCCCTTTGTATAAATCTATCTTATTATAGGTCTTTCTGTCTTTCAATGACCCTCTACCTTTCCAGCATGATCCCTTTTTCCAAGGATTGACCCCTTCTTACAACATGCCTAAAGGTAGTGATATCAAGGTTCACCATCCTTGACTCTAAGGAGCACTCTGGTTGCACTTTTTTCAAGATAGATTTGTTCTTTTGGCAGGCCATATATTTAATACTCTTTGCCAACAGCACAATTTAAAAATATTGGTTTCCCCCCTCTGTTTTTCTTATACATTTTCCAATTTTCAGATGCATAAAAAGCAATTGAATATACCATGACTTGGATTGGGTACACTCTAGTCTTTAAATGGACAGCCTGGTTCTTTGAAACATTTTAAAGAGGTCCTTGGCAGCAGAGTTTACTCAATGTAATACATACTTTTATTTCTTTACGACTATTTCCATGGGTATTATTTATGGATCCAAGTAAAACTAAATCCTTGACAATTTTAATCTTTTCTCCATCTATCATGATGTTGCCTATTAGTTCAGTGATGAGGATTTTTGCTTTTCCGATGCTGAGATGTAATCTATATTGAAGACTATAGAAGTCTTTGTTCTTCTGCAGTAAATGCTTCAAGTTTCTGCAAGTAAGGTTTGTCATCTGCGTAAAACAAACTATTGATGAGTCTCCGCCAATTCTGATGCCACATTCTTCTTCATATAAACCAGCTTTTCAAATACTTTTCTCAGCATACAGATTGACTAGGTATGGAAAAAGGATACAATCCTCACATATAGCCCTCCTGACTTTAAACCATTTTCCCTTGTTATGATGGGGCAACTGCTTTGTGGTCTATATATAGGATTTGCATGAGCACAATTAAATGTTGCTGTGATTCCCATTCTTCTCAATGTTATCCATCAGAGTTAAAGTCCTCAGCTGTGTAGTCACCACCCTCTAACAGCTTGAGCTTTCTTTCTTCTCTCCATAGCTGTTTCTCTCCTACTCACTGAGCTTGTTTCATCTCTAACAGTCTCTGCTTGGCAGTTTTCTCTATAGTGAAGCAATTAATATCCACCTCATCATTCATTCCTTTCAAGGAGGTGTGCTTCCAACCTCATAATACACTTTCCTAGTTGTCCTCACATTCATATTGCCTGAGCATGTTTATATGAAACATGCCCTCTATACATTATATGGTTGGGATGGGGTTGTGTGTGTTGTTGTTTTGTTGGTTCCCCCCCCCCTTAAATTGTTAAAGGCAAGCAAAAAGCTGTTTATCTGCTTCTTTCAATTCTGTCTTCTTTTTTCCAAACTCTCACTAAACTCCAGAGTATGTTCTTTGTAGAAAACTGCCATTTCCCATAACTCAGTCTCTCATGCTCGTCAATCTCCAGAATTCTCTGGAAAATTAACTCATAGGGATATTACTGTTGTTGTTGTTGTTGTTGTTGTTGTTGTGTGCCGTCATGTTGGAACTGACTCACAGCTGACCCTCCAGTGGGTTTTCAGAGGCAGCTAATTTCATGGGAGGAGATAACCACCCATCCTTCTCCCCTGAAGCAGTTGGGGAATTCGAACTGTGTGCCTTTGGAATTGCAATCCACCTTCTTAGCATTAGACCACCAGATATCCTGTTGTTTTTGTTGTTGTGTATCGGTGAGTCAGAACTCATCCATCACTGACCCTCCAGAGGGTTTCCAGAGGCAGTTAATCGCACGGGAGGAGATTGCTCATCCTTCTCTCATGAAACAGCTGGTGGCCTCGAACTGCATGACTTAGGGATTGCAGCACAGCTTCTTGCCACTAGGTCACCAGAGCTCCCTAGACAGAAAAAAAACCCCTTCTTTTGTTATTTTCTCCACAGTACTGGAAATGAGTTTTTAATAACTTACAACTAGATAATATAACCTATAAAGTAGTTTATCAATCTTTATTTTGTACTCCTTTATTAAGTCAGTAATCTGCAGTCTTTTTTTTTTCTTTTCTCTTCTACATGGTATGTCCACTTGCTGTACAGAGGTAAGTTGTGGTTGCTGTGATGCCAATCACTGTGACACTGATGAGTCAAATGTGATAATGGTTACTCATGGTGGACAGTGCTTGGAAGCAGGAGTGGCATCCACTTCCATAATATCTTGCCTCTGAAACCCTATGTACCTGGAGAAAGGACGAAAGTTATACAGGTGTCCAGGACTTTCATTCATAGGGTCTCTATGAGTCATCTACAACTCGACAGCACTTAATAACAACAACAACATATTCCTTCATCCACATTGTATTTTAAACAATCTTTTCCATATGCTATGGGTGTTTTTTTTTAATATACATTTTTCATTTTATACTGATTTACTTACAAAGTCTTTATACATTGTTTTTCACACCAGATCTTTCCCATTTCCTTAACCCACCCTCCCTCCACCCATCAAATTGTGTGATCTTATGATTATGGACTCCACCCACCCTTACCCCTCTGTTCTTCCCCTCTCTCCCAGATCTTCATACATGTTTTACTAGTTATTTTTCTATATTTACAATAATGGTCTATTACAGTATTTGTCCTTACAGGACTGAGTTAGTTCACTTAGAATAATGGTCTCTAGTCCTTCCCAAGTTAGGTGGTAATTTACAAAATCATTGATTTTGTGTGCTGCATAGTATTCCATCGTTTGAATGTACTATAATTTCTCAATCCATTCTTTGTGGTTGGACACTTGGACTGTTTCCATTTTCTTGCATTGGTGAATAACACTACTATGAACATTGGTGTAAAAGTCTCCATTTGTACCTCAGTTCTTATTTTCTTGGGGTATATTCCAAGCAGTGAAATAGCTGGGTCATATGGAATTTCTATGTTCAGCTTTTTGAGGAAATGCCAAATTGCCTTCCAGAATGGTTGTACCATTTTACAGTTCCTCCAACAGTGTATAAGAGTTTCCAGCTGCACATTATTCATCATCACAATAACATGGAAACAGACCAAATGTCCAACCACAGTCGAATGGATTGAAAAATTATGGTACATCCAAACAATGCAATACCACTCAGCATGCAGGAACAATGATTTTGTACATTACTACCTAACTTGGGAGGGGCTGGATAGCATTATGCTGAGTGAACTAACCCAGTCCCATAAGGACAAATACTGTGTAAGACCATTATTGTAGAATGAGTATGAATATTCAAGAAGAGGGGAGGGTGGGAGCAGGGGGGTGAAGATGGGGTGGGGCAGTTAATCATAAGGTCGCACAATTTGATGGGTAAAGGGTGTGTGTATGAAGGAAATGGGAAAGATTTGGTGTGAAAAACAATATATTCAAACTTTGTAAATAAGTCAGTTTTGTTATAAAATAGTTCCTAGATGCCGCCTTTATTTTTTTAAAAGGCACTGACATACATATAACGGATGGTGGGTGCATGTAGGATGTAGGGTTATGTATTGCCACCAAGGTTATATACTGTTTTCAAGTTGCTACAGCCTCCCCTCCTTCTCCCTAGAAATCATACAGGTATAACTATAAATCAAACTGAATTTGGAAAATAAATTAAAAGCTCATTCCTTGAGACATATCTCATGGCAGATCATAACATTTTAGATCACTTATTTTTCTGGGTTAGAAACTGAGATGGAAGCCATATTTTCATTTCTACACAGAAGCAACCTCAAGTCCATCTAAACTTTAGCACTTCCAGACACAAAGGTGTGGTTGTTGTTGTTATGTACCATCGAGTCACTTGTGACTCATAGCGACCCTATGTACAACAGCCCTAAACTCTGCTCTGTCCTGTGCCAATCGCATTCTGACACTCCCATCCCAATTATCTCAATCACTGAATCAATCCACCTCATAGAGATCCTTCCCCTCCTGAGATGTCCCTCTCCAAGGACAGGTCCCTCCTTACAACACGTCCAAAGTATGTCAGAAAGTATATCAGACGAAGCATAGATAAATGTTTCTTCTCAGAACTTATTTCTCCATTCATTTTTCCTCACTAAGGGAGCTCTAGTGCTGTAGGCCACAGGGAGCTGCACTGCTAAGCAATCTAATGGTGGTGCCTCTCTGGCAGTTTGAATCCACCAGCAACTTCACAGTAGAAAGATAGGCAACCTACTCCCTGGCATTTTACATCCTTCAAAAAAAACCCAGTGGAGGGTCAGCTATTAGACAGCTCCAAGTAGATGACAATGAGTTCATTCTTTTTCCTGAAAATTACTTCTTCCCTGGAATTATCACTGAGATGATCCTATATCACACAGAGACTCACATATCTTCTTTTTCCCAAAACCCTTGGAACTAGGTAGCCTTAATAGAAGAAAATAAAAACACAGAAAACTAAGCCCCATTTTGAAATAATGAAAAAAATCATACAGTGACAGGGAACTAAATTCTCTAATATCGCTCGCTGAATGGATATAATGGTATCTTATTACTATTATTTTACAGGATTCCAGAAATATTCTAAACTATTTCACCACAAGATATGACCTACTTTCGTATTTCTGGGGAGAAGTGAATCCATGTCTAGCAGTCTGAAGTAAACAAACTAGATCAAGAACAGAAAAAAAAAATGCAAAAGCAACCTAGAGAAGACTCTAAAATGAACAAAATATATCTTCAAAAACATATTAACATTTGGGAAAAGAATTCATCTGAAGTAGAGAAATGAATGAAGAGGTCTATGAAAAATGCTTGTGTAAACAAATGTATCTTCATTGTTTCTCTCACCCAACATATCCTGGAGAAGAAGAGAACAGAATACTGCAGCTTCCTTTTCTCTGAACTTTCAGTTGTATGTGTTGCAATGTTGCTGTGAGAGAATTCCTAGAATTTTCCTTGTAATTCGTTGTTGTTGTGTACCATCAAGTCGGGACTAACTCAGCTGACTGTCCAAAAGATTTCCAGAGGCAGTAAATTGGGTGGGAGTTGATTGCTTATCTTTTTCTCACAGAGCAGCTGGAGGTTTTGAACCATGTGCCTTATTTTTGCACATCCAGTATATTCTACAAATTAAACTACAAAGAAACAGTCAGCTGCAACTTCACAACTCAGAGGAGGCTGCATATCACAAGTCAGAAATGGCTGCATTTTAGTGAAGGTTCTAATGATTCACTTTTTTAATGAGATGCTTTCCATAAGTGTTTGGTTTCTCCTTCCATTTGATAAATGCCAAACAATTGTGAAGAATGAGTGTAATTCTAATATTAAAAAGAGTAGTAGTTGAATGGCATTATTTTCTAAATAATCTGTCTTATTTTTAAAACAAGTACCATTTCATTTCTCAAATGATCATTTTTTTAATGGTCTAGTGAAGGATCTTTCTCTTTACTGTCTGTGGCATTATATAATCACAAGCTTTTAGAAACTTCTATTTTCTATGCAGCATGGACAGCAATGACCTCAGCTTTCAAGAATATTCCAAGCAGTGAAACTCAACTGGAGCGATTTGGCTGCCCAGGGACATCTGACAGTGTCTTGGAGACGATTTGGTTGTCATAACTGAAGAGGCAGATGCTACTGGCATCTAGTGGCTAAAGCCTGGCAATGCTGTTCTATAGCCTAATATACAGCATCTCTCACTATGACAGATAGCAAATTATCTATTTCAAAATATTTTTGTGCAAAAGTTTAAAAAAACCCTGATTCAGTACAGAAAGAGATCTAAAAAAGAGGGGAACAGTTTGCTTTCTTAAAATGAGCATTAGCCTTCGTTTCTCTGGCTGCTGGCTCAACACAAAGAATCAGAACTCTGGACATTTGGCAAGTAGGATAATATCTTGCAATGAAGAGTGTTGGCAATGCTTGTGGAAATTCCTAATGGAACTATCTTCAGCTGGTTGAGTAAAATCCCTTTCTTTTCATTTTACCCCACAAACTAAATTCTATGAGAGAGCTGTCTCTGTTCCATCTCATTTCTTCATTTTGACTTTAGAACTTAGGATGTTGCCTGACCAAAATTCACATGAAGGTAATTAAACTGTACATTCTCTGAAACACACAGAGACTTCTGAAAGCAGACCTTTTGAAAGGAGACCATGAAGGATGAAGTTTATTAGAAAAAAACCCCTTACTTCCTGTCCCAAAGTCCTCACATGCTGATCACTTCATCCTGGAACTTTGAACTTTTGACCCAGAATGAATATATTATACCTTCTTATAGAAAACTTAATTTTGGAGTTGTGACCATTCACAAAAATTATTAAATACACATTTCCTACATCGCTGTCTGCCTGGTTTATCAAAGCCAGAATGTGGCATATAACAGACCTTCAGTAAATGCTGAATGAATGACTAGATGAATGTTGGAAATCTGTGAGAATGGGTTGGTTGGCTAAATCTTGTTTCTTAAGAAAGTTCCCGTGGGCTGTATTGGCTTGACATGTCTCTGTCTAGGAAAACGGGTGGTAGCTATAGGTTTGAGGTAGATAAATGTAGGAAAAGCCATTTACATGGAACAAACTGATCACTGTAGTGTTCAAAAATCTGACTTTCATTAGTGAGGAATTATCAAATCTTTAATTAGAAAGAACTTCAAAATCACCTTTTCTAGTGTTTTCCCTTTTCAGCCAAAAGTCCACACTAAAGAGTGGCTAACTGACTATTCTTAGCTTATTTATATAAATGGCTAAAGTCCACTCTGGTAGTTTATAGAAACAATACAACCCCCCCAAAAAACCATCCCATTCATTGTTATCCAGCTGGAACTGACTCATAGCTGACCCTTCAAGAGGCTTCCAGAGCTGTAAATTGCACAGGAAAAGACTGCCCATCTTTCTCCCTCAGAACTGCCAAGGGATTCGGGTTAGCACCACAACTCCCTATGAACTGGGCCACCAGAGCACCTCTGGTAGTTGATAGAGGGATAAAATCTACAGAAATTGTAACTACTAAGGGTAAATTCCCAGTGGATTTTAAGAACAATTTTGTTGTGCTGAAAATTCAGTTGTTCCCAGTTCACCCTAAGAAAAGATCAATGTTGAGCCACACTAAGGAAGCAAATTGTGAAAGCATAAGTACTTGCAACTCAAGCTATTTCTATGACCTTGTTCATAAGCACACAGTAGATACATAGATACCATATGTCATAACAGCTTAAATGTAAGACACAAGGACCAGAACAATGAATATATACTACAAGCATCTAGAAAAAGTCAAAATGAGGTTAAGTGTTGATACATTTGAGAGAACAAATAAAATTTCAAGATGAAATGTAAACTATCATCTATACCCAGGTTGTATGAAGATGTGTTTTAGGTTCTTCCCTATGAAAACACACATTGCATGCTTTGGTTCTATTGATGAAACTTAGAATTTCACATATATCTCTAACTATTAAAATCCCCACATTTCTAACTGGCTGCTCTAATTCAGACTGTCTTCTGTGTGTCTGACGGCCCGAGAGAAGACCTAGGAGTCAGGCCTTTTTGTCTCCAGTGCCCACCGAGCCTCAGGCAAGGCCAGAGAGTCTATCCTGCATTTATATTTTGTATGCATGATTGTTTCTGTCATTTGCTGTTAGAAATACAACATCTATCTATGACTTTGCTTAATTAGGTGAGTGTTTTGCATTCTGATACTTATTTTGCAGCTTAGATTCATACATGCTTATTTGTTTAGTGTTTACTCTTAGCAGTACAGTACTTGTCTGTTTGTTGCTGCACCAAGGTATCTTTGGGTTGCTGTGAAGCTGGCAGCTATGCTGCTGGTGTGTCAAATCCCAGCAGGGTCATCCATGGTGTACAAGTTTCAGCAGAGTGTTCATGTTAAGACAAAGGTATTGAATATCCCATAAGCACTTCCAAAAGAACAGATATATCTTGGGGAAATTGTGGCCAGAGCGCTCCTTGGAAACAAAGATGGCAAAGATTTATCTTTCATACTCTGAACTTGTAGCTAGATGAAGCTAGTTCTTGGAAAGAGACACCATGCTTAGAAAGATGGAGAGTTTGTGAAGGAGAAGAAGATCTCCAACAAGATGGATTGACACAGCGACTTCAGCAATGGGTTCTACTGTGTCAGAGATGATGAGGATAGCACAGGATAGGGCAGAGTTCAGGTTAGCTGTTCATAGGGTCACTATGTGTTGTGCTCAACTTCATTGTACCTAACAACAACCGGAAGAAGGATCGGCCATTCCCTTCTGAAATATAAGACCTTCAAAAACCTGTTTCTTTAAGATATGGATTTTCCACACGGACCCTCACAAGGGGCTTCAACATGAAAGTAAGTCTTCATTGAAAGTTACTAGTTAGAAAAATGGAAGTTTACTTTTATTTCCCTTCTGCTGAGGCTCACAAAAATTCTTTCTCCATGAAGCTATCTCTGAGCAGTTAACCCACCATAATCATATTCTTTTTAGTCTGTATATATAATTTAACATAAAACCACATGTTCTTTTGCCATTTTTTTCATTGTTATATACTGGACTGCTCCGAAAATGATGATACAGATGAGTGACAGGCAATTCTTACAAGTTTTCCCTTTGAAGAACAGTCAAGAGGTCTTGTTTATGATAAATATGTATTGGGACAAAGCCATTAAAGTAAAAAAGCCTGAAAATGAGGTTTGTTGGTATTACTCCAATCTTCTCTCCTAGAAGGCATGGCTTTCCAGATCATGGTATTCAAAGTTCTTCTAAAAACCATAACTTCGATCTTCAGAATTATCTTCACTTTACAGCCAATTGCTTGAACTAAGAAGTATCCTTTGTTGTTGTTATGTATTATCTAATTGAATCCAATTCATAAAAATCTATGTACAATAGAACAAAACAGACCTCAATCTTGTCATGTCCACATAATCACTGCTGTCTTTGAACTCACTGTTACAGTCACAGTGTAATCCATCTCATTAAGGATTTGTTCTTTTTTACTTTTTGCTTCTTTTCTATGAGACATATCTTTTCCCAGAGATGTTATCCCTTCTGATAAGATGGCCATGTATGTGGGACAAGTTCAGCATTTTTACCTTTTCCAAAACTCTAACTATGGCTTTTAATATGAACATTATGGACACTGGTCCAATATCTATTCCTTAGAATAAGCCAAAAATCATGCTTAAATACAGCCATTTTCTTTCTCTGGCTTTCCAAATTTTCAGTTACAAAGCTCTGTTGGTAACTCAATCATTTATTCATCACTACAAGAACTCTTTAGGTTTTAATAGGAAAATTAAGGAACTTAAAGGATTTAACATGACTTTGATGATATGGTTTAGTTTGCCATAACAATTCAAGTCATGGGTCCAGGTATTACGTTTAAGGCAAGTGAAATTGGATGAACAACAAGATCATGGCATTGAGATAGCAGTTTCTTTTGAGAAGGAATTGGTACCTAAGCAGAAGTCAAGTCACAGCCTGCTAGAAGAGGATGTATGAGAAAAAAAAATTACATTCTTCAGTTCCACTACCTTCCCTTTTGTTATTCTTCTCCCAGATAGCCCGATCAACCCTCCTTTAGGTCCTGAGAACTCTGTCTTTCCACAATTCTTTTTAATCAAAACTCCCATCCACCCTAAAATATGATGAAAGAAGAATAATTGATGCCTTTGAG